GTATCTCTAAAAACAATAAATGTTCATTTTTATTATGAGCTTACCATGTAAATTCTTTTTTCCCCATTATGTACAGTTTGCTTTTTTAATAGCTTAAATTAAACACGGTATTTTGTAATTTCAACATTGCTCTGATAGTCTGTTCCCTTTTCAACTCCCGCCAGCCATCTTCTTTTTACTTAAAAAAAAAAAAGATTCATGCCTGTTCTTTCCTTTTTTTAGTGTCATTATCACTACCCCCTAAAGAAAAGCAAAAGCCCTACACTGTAATGAACATAATCATGAAAAACAATCTGCACATTGGCCATGGCTGAATGTGAAAGCCTCGTTCTGTGCCTATAGTTCATCACCATCAGAGAGTAGGAGGCATGATTAGTCATCAGCTTTCCGGTAAATTTGTCATGGCATTGATGACAGTTCTGATATCTTTCAAAGCTGTTTTTCTTTACACTGCTGTAGTCACCGTATACATTGCTCTCTTGGCTCTCCACACTTCACTCTGAATCCGTTTGTACAAATTCTTCCAAGTTTCATTGAATCTGTTCCTTCCGTCATTTCTTATGGCACACGAATACTCCCTTACATTCACATACCATAATTTCTTGAGCCTTTCCCCGACCGACGGGAACCCACTGTGTCTGCAATTCTTGGCTACAATAAACAATAAATTTGTACATGTGGATCTTCTCCCTCCTTTGCTGATCTTTTTGAAGCGCAAGCTTGGCAGTGGTATTGATGGGGCAAAGAGTATGCACAACATATGGACTTTTTGTGGATGGTACCAAATTGCTTTCCAGCTCTACCAACAGTGCAGGACTGTGCTTATTTTCATAAAAGCTTTCAAAGCCATTTTCTTTGGGAATCTCAGAGCTTTAAAAGTTCATATTTCTCTTATTATTAGTGATTTGGAACTTTTTCATATTATTGTTGATAGTTTGCTTTTCTTCTTTTGAAAACATCTTGTTCATCTCTTCTGATCATTTAGCTTTTGGAGAATGGCTATCCTCCTGAGGTATTTGTATCAGTTCCCTATCTATCTTAGCTATCAGAACTCTTGTTGAACAGAGGAATGTGCTACATGGATTCCTTCCCCCTCCCCCCATTAATTGCTTCCTTTATATTTAAGCTACATTGATTTTATTTGTGCAGACTTTTCAACTTTTCGCAATAAAAACTATCCATTTTATTTTTTGTCAGTCTTCTCTATCTCATGTTTGATCAAGAACACGTTCTTGACGGTTGCAAAAGGCATCTCCTTCTTTGCTCCAGGAATTAATTTGTGGCATGTTCTTTTACATGTAGGCCTTGTATTGGTGTGAGTGTTGGCCTAAGTCTAATTTCTGTCAGAATGGTTCCAAGTTTTTTGTTCAAGAATGAGTCCTGTTTTCAGTAACTGGAAGCCCGAGGCTCATCAAGCACTATGCTTTATTTGCTTGTGGGTCTTTTGAACCTAATCTGTTCCAGTGATCAGCTTTTATATTTTTTAACCAGTACCAAATAGTTTTAATAATTATTGCTTTATAGTATATTTTGAAATCTTGTTCTGCTAAGCTGGCTCTCTTCCTCCTCCTCCTCCTCCTCCTTTTTTGACACAAGATCTTCCCATTTCATCCAGGCTAGCGGTATAATGACTACTCATGGGCCCCAGATCACTGCTGGTTGGCATGGGAGCTTTAACTAACACTATTTTTGATCAAAAACGTCCTTACACAGCCTGGCGGCCATCTGCTTTTAGGGGCTCACCATACTGTACTGGACTTAGTATAGACAACCAATTGGCTTAGCACATTGTTGCTCAAGCTTAAGGCAATTAAGCTTCAGCCTCCCCAGCAGTTGGGAATTACCAGCATATGGCACTTAATGGGGCCACCTTTCTTCCCACTTTTTTTCCTCCATTATTTCACTTTAGAGTCTTGACCTATCATTGATTCTAGATGAATTTTATCATCATTTTTTTTTTGTTCAGTAAAGCAAGCTTTCGGTAATTTATTGGTATAGCACTGAATTCATTAATTAACTTAAACAATATTGTCATTTTTATTATACTGGCACAGCCCAACCATAAGCAATGAATATCTCTCCAATTACTTAGGTTTATCTGTATTTCAGTAAAGAGTGTTTTATGGTTATTTTCATATTATCTTTTGGATGTGTCTTGGCAGTTGGACTCCCAAATATTTTATATATTCTGTAGTTAATTTCAATGTTGGGTTTTTTTTCCTAACTCTTCCTGCTAGGTTTTGTTAGTAATACATAGAAAGGCTAATGATGGTTTTTTGGGTTTATATCATATTCAGCTACCTTACTGAAGGTACTGTTTCAATTAATTTTACTTGACTCTCTAGGGTTCTCTAAATAAACCATTATTCATCTGTAAAAAGTAATAATTTTGTTTTTTTTAGCACATCCTTACTCTATTTCTTTTTCTTATTTCATTATTATGAAAAGCACCTCTAGAACCAAACAGTAGTGATGATCATTGGCATTCATGCTTTACCCTGATCTTGTCATAAAAGCATCTCACATTTATTCATTATAGAAAATGTTAGCCATGGTTTTCAATATATATTATTTGCTATACTAATAAAGAATCATCCATTTATTACTATGTTTGTTACTATTAAAAAAAATCAACCAATTAACAAGTTTTTACTATGTGTCAGGTACTGTACTTAGAAATCAATGTTGTAATTTGTCAAAAGTTTCTTCTGCATCTATTGATGCAATCATATGAGTTTTATTGTTTTTGTTACTGATGTAATCTCTTCTAGAGTCATGAAGTCTCCCTTCTTTCTGAGTTCAAATCTGGCCTCAGACACTGAGTAGCTGTGTGAACCTGAGCAAGTCACTTCACCCTGTCTGCCTCAGTTTCCTCATCTGTAAAATGAGCTGGAGAAGAAATGGCAAACCACCCCAGTATCTTTGCCAAGAAAACCCCAAAAAGGGTCATGAAGAGTGAGACACGACTGAAACAAGTAAACAACAATAACAACCTTTACCCTCTACAGTCTAGATTCCAACTACTTTCCAGTGTTATTTCTTACTACCACCTTTCATAAACCATGTTCTAATCAAACTGGGTTACTAGCTATTCCTTAACTGCTGTTTGCCTCAGTTTCCTCAACTGTAAAATGAGGGTAATAATAACACCTACATCCCAGGGTTGTATTGAGAGTCAAATGAGATAATAATTGTAAAGTGCTTAGCATATAGTAGGTGCTATAGAAATGCATATTCTTTTTCTTTCCCTTCCCCCAAGGAAAAAGGATGAAACATATCACCCATGTCTTGACAGAGTAGTGATAGACTCAAAATGAAGAATGAGATGCACATTTGTTGGACATGGCCAAGGTGAAAACTTTCTTTGCTTGAATGAGTATCTGTTAAAAGGGTCTCCCTGTTCTTTTCCTTTTTTCTAATAAAATGGGATGGGTGGAAGGGAGAAAAAAAAATACTTGCTAATTAAAAATTTAACTAACAAAAAACTAAAAGGAGGAAGAATTCAGCTTACCATACGGAAGAACTTTTTAACAATTAAAGCTGGTAATACCACAGGCTGTCTCACAAAAGACATGAGCCTTCAGTTGCTTTACATGTCCAAGTTGAGGCTATCATGAACACTGCACAGGGGATCCCTACATTAAGAGGAAGCTTGGACTAGAATGAGATGATCTCTAAAGTCTCTTCCAGTTCTTTCGACTCTATTCATCTCTAGCATTCACCACCAAATTCACATATACGTTGTGAGGATTAAATGAGTTAAACAGATGTGAAATTACTTTGTAAAGCATAATGTTCCACACAAGCAAAAAGCATTATTGTGGCGGGGGGAGGGGAGAGGAGGAGAATCACACCTACAATTCTCCAAAGAAACCTTCTTGTCTTCCATATGTCTCCTCTTACAATGGGGAAGATAGGGCAGAGCAAGGAAAGGAAATGACTAGAAAGAAAATGCCACCAAAAGCTCTGAAGAAAAATCTTTCTTCTCATTTACGAACACCATTGATGTTTCTTTGGAGCTCTTCTCTCTGATCAGGAGGGCCTCTTCTTGGGCACCCCCAGGCTACAGCTGGGGGTCAGTCAGAGGCAATGCCAGAACCAGGAGCAAGTAGTGTCCCAAAGTGCCCTCCACCAAAGGCGTTGGCTGTGCATGTTGGCATAGGGACAGTTTGATTCCCGGAGCCCTTTCCTTCCTTCCTGTTGATTGATTTGTTTTTCTCTGCAGCTGCAGAGTGGATGTTCTCAGGGCAGAACCTGCAATTGTAAAAATCTCCCGGGTTTGGGGGTGTGTGAATCAACTCTAGCTGGCCACCTCTCTGCGTGTGAGGTGACAAGTCACACGTTCCAGAGACTGTTGCCTTGATTTACAGAATTGAAGAGTGTGCATAAGAGGCATTGACCTCTCCGTTACTGTATTAAAAAGGTAACTCTTTCTTTCCCTCTCTTGTTACTGAATCATCAACATATTCAACTGCAAGGCACTCTCCTAGATTCTGTAAAATGTTCTTGGTCAAATGAAATATGTACTCTATTTTCATGGAGCATTGGATTTAGTCATGATTAATGGGGCACATATAAACTGATAAATGATATTAATTTGTTTTAAGGGGGACTGAAAAGATTTCAGGCACTTGTTTCTCCACTGATTGCCTGAGTTATTCCTTATCTGCTGGACCTTGATGTCTAAACCTGGTTGCTCAACCCCATAAGGAAAACATCACCTTTTTCAGACTGTTGTTAACACTACATGGTCAATCACAACTCCCTCTAGGCCAGTATGTGTTCCGTTACGATTTAGGAAAAAGTCCATTTACAATCAGGTTTCATTACAGTCTTCTTCACCTTGGACCCCAGCCCTTTCAAGGCTGCTAGCGATAATACTCCTGAGCCAGCATCCTTGGGATCTTGTCACCTTCTCCTTCCCCACTCCTCTCTTAGATCAAAGGCCAAATGGTTTTGGTGCCATAGCATCAGCAGAGAGATGCTACTGAGGGATATACCTGAAATCTCCTGTGAAGGCTGCAGGCATCCAGCCACTTCCGATTTGTTGGTAATGGAGCCCCCTCCTTCTAGGACCCGGACCAGCTCCTGGAGTTGCTGGCACTCCTCCTGCAGCTGCTGCTGCTCCATCTTGAGGCGTTCCTTAGCAAGGCTGGTCGGGTTCATACTCAAGTGGAGCACTTTTGTTTTGCTCTGGTCATAGTGACCCTGGAAGAGGAACAGAGAGATCCTAGGTGTCACCAGTGGCAACTTATGTAACTGCAGCTTAAAGTTATACAATACAAAAAGAATCAATAGATCCCAAACAAGCATATCCAGCCTAAATTCATTAATCAGCTCCACAAAAACATAACTAGTTGGAACACTGTTAAAAGAGGTAATGTTTTACAGTTATTGTGTTATAAGTGGGGAGGCCTTTCTTGGAAAGAGGTTGAGTGGTTAACAAGAATTTGGAAGAGGCAGGAGAAGGGAGGAGAAATGGAGGAAGGATGCCTTGAGTGGAAGCCAGCACAGTTGGGAGAGCTGGGTAAAACTGTCGGTACTAGAACAAACCAGAACCCGAACCTGAACCAAAACCAAACCGGAAATTTAAGAACCAAGAAAGGTTTACTGAGTTTGCCAGCAAGGGAGTCCCACCCACAGGGACAGAGACTCAGGTTTCAATTTAGGCAGGAGGTGAGTTGGGTATGGGGGCCTTTGGGACTAGACAGAGCCTGTGGCTGGGGGCTTTCAGTGTAGGAACAGGGCAGAGGATGTGGTATCCCTTTATTGGACGGAGCTTGTTGCTGGGGCCTAGCAAGAGACAAAGCTCTTCTTCAGAGTAGTGATCTCTTGTAACCCTGCCCTAACAGATAGGACTATCCTTGCTGTTTTAGCAGAAAGGAAGGTTGCAGACAGAATGGGAGTTGCAATAAAAACAGGCTCGGGGCAAGATGGAGGAGCTATAGACAAAATGCAGTTGCTCAAGTTTTCTCGGCTACCTGCAGGAGCCCCATGGGGCAGAAATTCAATGTGATCAGAAGCATAGGTTGGTGGTGGTACGGGAAAAGGAAACTTTAGGTGATCAAAGGGCATGGCAAGTAGAGCACAGAAGAATGACGAATTGGACAGAATGGCTAGAGTGGTCTTAGGCCATGACACTCCATAAGGAGTCAGGATATGGAGCTAAGCTTTGTAAAACAGGAGGGAGAAACCAATGTGCTGGTTACAGCATCAAATTAGAGTTTTGTAACAATTTGGTTGTAAAGTTTTAATGGTACCAGCACAAAAAGATCTTGACCAGGATACCTTTATTTGGGCTATGCTATTATTTCATTTGTCTAGACAAATTAAGAGAATCGTCATTAGAAACATGTTCTTCTGTATAAATCAACTGCCAAGATAACTGAAGCTTTGAAGTACTAAAACTTTTTTATATTAATTATTTTGATGAAAATCTTTCTTAAAGGTATTACACACTTCGTCCTAGAGAGTAGGAAGAGGAAGAACAGGTACAAAAAGTAAACACAAGAAGTATAAAATCACTGGATTTGGGGACTATTTAATGTTGGGGATAATCCTGAGAGTCTCTGGAGCACACTTTATTACAGCAGAAGACAAGAGAAATTCAGAACCAGGTAAGACCCCAGGGCTGTAAGTCACTCTCGTAAAACCATTTCTCTCCCTTCCAATATGTACCAGCTGAGAAATAACCAAGCTTGTTAAACTGAAACTTTAATTTGATCCACAGTTGTGAGTCAGTATGGCTCTTGGGCATCCCCTCACATTGAGTAATGGTTATAGCGTTGGTGACTACCATTTTCCCTGAAAATCTTACCTCATGCTTGACTTCTTAGCTATATTCTGCATGATCATAAAATCAAAGAATTAGACCTGGAAGGAATCTCAGAAGTTGTCTAGACAATACTGAGAGTTGGTATTGTGGATAACTGAGGCTCCTTTCTTTTCTCAGCCTACTTAAATACGAACCATCTTGTTAAAGATTCAATCTAAATGTCTCTTCTTCCATGAATCCTATCCAGGATACCTGTAGCATATAGTGATCTCACCATCCTATTAATTTCTAGAGTACTATTTTTCTGTATTATTCACTTACTACATAATTGCCTTTTCCTTTCCTACTCCTACTACCTTCACTTACTGAGCCCTCCTTTTCTCCAGCCTTTCGAGCACTGATTTCACTTTCACTCATTCCTTCCCTACCCCCACTGACCTTGGGAGGAGAGCTGAAATACTCCTTGCTCTCCATTGCCACTTCCAGTCTCTCCCTCTAACACCATCACTAAGTAAACTCTGTTCCTTTCAAATTCACACAATTCACATTGATTGCACAATCAAAATTCTGGTGCCTGTTGTCCACTGACCTCCAGAACCCTCTGCTCCTTTCCTCAGTGAGTTCAGGGTCTGGTTCGTAGTCTTTCTCTGTTCTCTAATTCCTTCCTTCATAGTAAGGGACTTCAACCTATATCTTGATATGCTTTGCAAACACCCCAACCTCCTAGTTCTTCAGCTTATTAGTTTTCTATTACCTCCTCAACCGCACTTCACCTACATACAGAGATGGTCATACCCTTAATACTGTCATATATCACCCACTGTACACCTCTTCCACGTTCATGAATTCCTTTATCTGATCACGATATTTTGTCATTGCATCCCTCCCTCTTCTAAACCCTGAATCTGGTTTCCATCCTCATCATCCCTCCCGACCCAGCCTTATCCTTCTACCCTTCAGTTCTTCCCCAGGCCATCACCCCCGCTCTGGCTACACTCTCCTCCCTTCGACATCTTGAAACCTTGGAGAACCAGCTGAACTCAACATTGTCTTCTTCTCTCAAGTCCCTTGCCCTCTCATCCTGAAGATCTTGCCCTGCAAAGCCTCAGCTCTGGATGACTCCACCATCTACTACCTCAGTGCCTATTCAGATGGTTCAGAATAAACCTGGAAAAAGTCATGAAAAACTGTGTTGACTGGGTCTGCTAAAAATGGATGTTACTTAATCTCAATCGGGCCTTTACTGTGCCAATTACACCTCCATAATTGACTCACTAACCCACTCAACACAGCAGCATTTCCAGGCCTTTTCATCCCTTTTCAAACCTCCCATGGTTTCCTCAACCTCAACCCCCTTTCAGCTGAGAACTTTGTCTTATATTTCACTGAAAAAACTGAGAACATTCACTAAGAGCTCCTCTCCTTCTCTCTTCCTCATTTCATATCACTAAGATATCTTCTGTCATCCTTCATTCCTGTTTCACTTGAAGAGGTAGCCCTTTCTCTTGCCAAGGCAAACCCTTGCAGATGCACAAGTTTCCTTATTCCATTCTATCTTCTCCAGCAAAACTGCCCCCTCTATCACTCTTCCTTTCTCACTTGTTTTCAATCTTTCTTTGTCTACTGGCTGCTTCCCTGATGTCTACAAATATGTCCATCTTTTCCCCATCCTCAAAAACCCTCATCTGATCTATCCATCCCTTCTAGCTAGCATCCTATATATGTTCTCTCTGTGTGTCTCTTCTCTCGTGTCTCTGTCTCTCTGTTTTTTCAAGCTAAACTCTTTCAGAAGGCTGTGTATAACTGATATCTACTTCCTATCCCCTTATTCCCCTCTTAACTCTCTGCAGTCTGGCTGCTGATCTCATCAATCAACTGAAACTGCTCTCTCCAAAGTTATCAATGATCTCATAATTGCCAAATCTAATGGCATTTTCTCAAAACTTATCCTTCACTTCTCTGCAGCCATTGATATTGGTGATCAACCTCTTCTCCTTGATATTCTCTTCTGTCTGGGTTTTTGTAACATTGTTTTCCTCCTCCTTGTCTAACCATTCCTTCTTAGACTCCTTTGCTGGATCTTCATCCAGGTCACTCCCACTAACCATTGCCCAGTGCTCAGTCTTGGGCCTTCATCAATTCTCCTTTTATAACTATTTCATTTGGTGATCTCATTAGTTCCCACAGATTCAACTCTCATCTCTATGCTGATAATTTTCAGTTTATTTGTCAAGTCCTAGTCTTTTTTTCCCAACCTCCAGTCTAGCCTGGACAACTGTCCACTGGACATCTTGAACTTGATGTCTCATAGATGTCAAACTCAAAAAGTCCAAAACTCAACTCATTATCCTTTCCCCTAAATGTTCACCATTACCTAATTTCCCTAATATAGTAGAGGGTACCACCATCTTCCCAGTCACTCAGGTTTGCAACCCACATGTCATCTGTGACTCTTCCCTCTCTGTTATTTCCCATATCCAATCAATTACCAAGTCCTGTCCTTTCTAACTTTTTAATATTGCTTATATAGGTCCATTTCTCTCTTCTGACACTGCTACCATGCTGGTGCAGGTCTTCATTGCCTCTTACCTGGACCACTGAAATAGCCTGCTGGTAAATCTTGCCTGCCTCAATTTTCTCTCTACTCTAGTCTATCCTCCACTCAGCTGCCGAAGTTAACTTCCTAAAGTTCAAATCTGACCATGTCCCCCTGGCCCCTACCCAATTCAATAAAATTCAGTGCCTCCCTATCACTTCCAGCATCAAATACAAAATCTCCTGTTTATTGTTTGAAGCCCTTCATGATCTGATCCCTTCCTATCTTTCCAATCTTCTTACAATTTACGCCCTCCCACATACTCTATAATCCAGCAACACTGCCCTCCTTGCTATTCCTCACACACTCCATCTTCTGACTCTGGGTATTTTCACTGATAATCTCACTGAGTTGAAACACTCACTTTCTCTCTTCATCTGTATCACCGGCTTCCCTGGCTTCCTTCAGGTCTTGGCTAAAGAAGCCATCTGTAAGAAGCCTTTTCCAATCCCTCTGAAACCTCTAGATGATCCTGAATGTATCTTATTTGTATACAGTGGTCTGCATGTTGTCTCCATTGTTAGACTGTAACATCCTTAAGAACAGGGACTGGTTTTTGCCTTTCTTTGTATCCCCAGTACTTAGCACAGTACTTGGCTGTGGTGTTTAATAATGCTAGTTAACTGCCTGCCTGCTTGCCTGCCTGTAACAATTCTTATACCACCTTATTAAGTTGTACTTTATGTGCTGTACTGTTAGTAAACTTTTTATGTAAGAGCTATCTCCCTCTACTAGAGCATAAGCTCCTTGTGAATATTAACTACAAATTAAATTTGTTGTTGTTGTTTCCCCCTTCACAGGGTCTTTTACATCATAGTGGTTCAATAAAAATTTGTT